ACCAGGGCCGGAAAAACATAGTGAGGAGAGCCTCAAAAACGCTATAATGGTATTTGGAAGTGGAAGTCTTGCATGGTGCAGGAATAATAATGCCTAAAAACTTTAGTCTCTTCAGTGTAAGAAGCTTTAGTCCAATATACCTCAACGTATTAGCTTCGTTTGACAAGCATTTGAATAACGACAAAAGAATCTGTTATAGTGAGCAGTAACAGCGACTCAACCACAGACTTTTTCAAAGAGCTCTTTCAATCTGGTATCCCGATTTTTATTGAATCTAATCAAGCCAAAATGGATTCTAATTGTAAAATACGTGGCTTTCTTCTACTAAAATCAATAAGCGGCTGAGACCACCAGACAGACAGAGACCCCTCCTTAGTCTCCCTATATGAATACTTTTAACTTAATCTCTCTTCGTAGCGACGTCGGCTCAAGATTTCCAACCTTTGTTTCTTGTTAGTTTATTGCACTGCCACGCGGGTTTTCAGAATCAATGATTTATTTCTCGAGTAGCACAAGATGATCTTAAACTTGGGTAATTAAACCAGTACAAACTAAACGTAAAATAGATATATAATCAATAAAGGAAAAAAGCTGATAACAATAAAATAAGACATTATAAGGTAACCATAGAAGATTACTTTCCCCTCTCACTGGCTTCTGCTCCCTTTTTTATATGGTTCCTAGGTCGGGCGGGGCTTCTTGTTAAAATCATGATTTGCCTTTCCACCTTCTCGATCCCAGATTGTCTGCTGTATCTGTCGAGGCCGGATCCCCGCAGCTTTTCTAGGCTCTTCACCGTTTTCCTTTACCTCCCCGGCTTGGGGACCGGTCCTGGGATTGTTGCCGCTTCCCCGTCGGCCTGAGATACTTCGCTCAGCAGCGAAACTCCATGTTTTGTTTGAAGAAATACTATTTGCTAAATTTGTCGAGAAAACTGCTGCATTTTATGAGGAATAACGTTTGAATAGCAAAATCCTGTTGCTTATAAGAGAGAGCTTTAGCACAGCATTTTTGCAGGAATTTTAAAAAACCTTTATTTTGTCTGCAACGGATTTCGCTGTTTCCCGCTGATCGTGAAAGTCCTTTGACAGAGTGCCACAACAGTCCCATCGTCTTCAAGGTTTTTTGAAAAATTTTTTGACGAATGGCCCTGTGAGCGACATTTTGCAGCATAAATATTTGTACAACTGCCACTGAGAAAGCCTGGAGGTAAGAGAGGAGAGTGGACAGTTTTCTCCAAAAAAAAAAAAAAAAAAAAAAAAAAAAAA